CGCTCTCGCTCTCTCTGTGGGTGTGTGTGTGTGTGTGTGTGTGTGTGTGTGTGTGTGTGTGTGCGCGCGTTAAGAAAATGCCCCACAGCGGGATCTTATGGAGACATTTTCTCAACTGAAGTTCCCTCCTTTCAGATGACTCTAGCTTGTGTCAAGTTGACATAAAACTAGCCAACACAGAATTCATGACCCATTAGTGACAAAGCATTTAGAGACAACCTGAAGCATGGTTCTATGCCAACACTATACCATTCCAATGTGAGATATGAGTACCCTTTGACTTGGGTCTACTGGGAGGGGGGTTCTAGGGTCAATGTGGACCAGTTCAGCAAACCTGGCAAGACCCTCCTCTCTGCCAGCAAAGTCAGCCCTCAGATCTGCCACAAGCTGTGCCTCAGAAGTTCTTAGGCTATGACTCAGCTAGCGTGGTGTCCAGTCCAGTACTTAGACCAGCTTAGCAAATAAGAGGAGTACCCTGAGCTGGCAGCCTGAGGGCTGGCCAAGGGCCCAGGGAGTCTCCTCTGGATTCCTCTCCTTGAAGACACACAATGACTTAGCTTGTCCCCATCCCCACCCCCCAGTACCAAAGGCCCCTGGTGTGTTCTGGCTTTCGGAAGAAGCATGGCAACTCACCCAGGGGCTAACCTTGGTGAGGCGGGAGGCCTCAGAAGGAAATAGAAGGAAATGCCCCCTGGAGGGAGTCCTGATTGTGGGACACTGCTGTCCCTCCTTCTCTTCCTGAATCCAACCTCCCTTATTCTTCCCAAGTGTTCCAAAAAGTGCTGCCAAAGCCACCACAAATGGGTATGAGACTGAGAAGGGGCACAGGAGGTAGGGTTTTGGGGAGCCGTGATCATATTGCAGGTTGAGCCCTCCTTCTTACATGGTAAAAAGAACTCCAGCAATGGACTGGCTGTTCTGAGAAGGGACTTGAGTCCCTAGGGGACTCACCTAGGGACCCCACCCTCATGGACCCTCACTTCTAGAGTTTCTGTTTCCTGAGGTCACAGCACTGGGATCAGGGTTTTACCTCAAGAATGACAAGACACAGGCAGATCACAGGTGCCAGATGTCTTCTACTTGTAAACACACACACACACACACACACACACACACACACACACACACACGTACACATACCCACATATACAAACACATACACATGCACACATATACAAACACAAACATATTCACACATACACACACATGTACACATACTCACAACACATATATACATACACACAACACATATATACATATACACATACACACAACACACATGCACATACACACATGCACATACACACATGCACATAATACACACATACATACACACACACATGCGCGCACACACACACAATATACACAACACACACACACACACATATACACAAATACAGGCACATACACACTTTGTGATTTGGCTCAGAATGTCCTTAGTCATACATGTAGTCAAAGGTTATGAATTCATCTGCAGGCTGCTCTCTGTAACCCAGGGCTCCTGTCCAGCCTGAACTCATGGCCCCCTCACTTTAGACATTGTGAGTCCTGTCTGCCCAGGAATGCCCCTAGCTGAAGTATCTTCAGAATCAAATGACGCCCTCATAAATACTGCACCCACAGTCTGCTGAAGTGCCCACATACTTTAGCTGTACCCATTTTCTTTTTTTTTTTTTCTAAAGATTTATTTATTTTACCTATATGAGTGCTCTGTCTGCATGCACACCTTTATGCCAGAAGAGGGCAGCAGATCCTGCTATAGATGGTTGTGAGCCACCATGTGGTTGCTGGGACTAGAACTCAGGACCTCTGGAAGAGCAAGCAGCCGGTGCTCTTAACCACTGAGCCATCTCTCTAGCCCCAGCTGTACCTATTCTTGCCCTTGTGCTGAAACCAGTTTGTGGGGGAGCCCGAGGAAGAGGCTTAGTGTTTCAGGCCTGGATGAGAGACATGTGAGAGGCTGTCAATCATTTGGGCACACAGGACCTATGGAGACCTTGGTAGGGATGGGAGATAGAGTCATTCTGGAACCCGGCTGTATGAACCGACACGACTCAGTTCACACTCTGGGAGGTGGGCCACCTCAGCTAGGGTGGTCTCAGGATACCTTCCAGAACATACTGTCCTCTAGTGAGGCCCTAGAGCCCCTTTGGACTCTACCACACTTTCCCACTTGGCTATTTCAGAGCAGGGTTTGGAGGCCATTCAAGTTCCCAGTTGCCTGGCTTCCTGGCTCTGATTTACCAAGTACTGTCTTGGGAAGGAAGGGAGGGGCTGGGGTGTCTTGGCTGTGTTCTCTTGGGTGGAGACAGGTGGGACTCTTGGTTACGTAGGACCTCTCTCCGAAGGCCTTGCCTTTACCAAAGAAAACCCCTCCTGGCCTACTGGGTGGGCCTGGCCATTACTTCCCCTTCTGCCTCAGCAACCAGTGTCTTGGGAGGAGGTGGCCTACTGAGGTAGGCTCCTTTCTGCTCTACCTCGGGCTCCTTTTTTGAGGTGGCAGAAATGGGGTTAGAACAGCTCATATGGCTTCAAGCAGCCCCTCTCTCTCTGCTTTCTGGAAAGTTCCAGGGGGACTCCAGATAGCCTTGTGGTCCTGATTAGGCCTGGCCTTGGGGAGCATTTATCCCTAAGATTTCCCCATTTGTGTGTCATTCCCATTCCCAATTAGACAGCATGGGAGAGTTAAATGGTTCTGACGAGGCAGAAGGTGGACAGGGTCCTCCTGAAGGCCCGAGCTGGGCCTAGGGTCCCCTAACAGCTAGCTTTGCCTGGCTTCCCAGAGTGCAACTATCTAGGGTAGAGACAGAGTCCCCAATGACTGGACAGAGGGCTGGGCAGGGGAACTGTAAGAAGTAGTGCCTGAGGCAGACAGGAGACTGTCCCCCACTACCAGCTCCTAGGGTCAGAACCCCATTTTCTGGCTATGTTTGAGTTGAGCATTTGAGGGGGAAAAGGAGGCGAAGGGTGTGTTGGCTGTGCAGGGTGAGAGAGTAAAGAGACGACAGAGAGGGCCTGGGGCAACCTGGGTGATTCATACCTGTGCTTCCTCTCTCTCTCTCTCTCTGTGGTGTGTGTGTGTGTGTGTGTGTGTGTGT